AAACAACCCCCGAAAAAAATGAGATAGGATAAGTAGATATATCGATATAACTTGGACTCGAATTTAACAAGATTGGAAAGTTTTTGGGAAAGTAAAAATCGAGCCCGGCTGACAGAGTCAAAGGTCAGAAACGGAAAACTAAAACGTAAAACACACATATGTATGTACATATGGATGTATGCATCTGTAATGCGATGAGAATATGATCGATTCCTTACATAAATAATCCATTGAAGGGCAGACTTAAGATAGGACTAATCTACGCCCACTAAAATACAGAATCGAAGTAATCTGAGCCAATACGAAATTATTTTATTTCCATTAATGGGAACTTACCTACATATATCAAATTACTACCACCTTTTTGTGTACATATGTAAATTCATACATATGTACATATGTGAATGTGACCGTATTTTTCCAGTTTTAAATATTTTAAATTTCTTACATTCTCTCTCTTTACATCTGTCGTCTTCATCTCCATCTTTTTAGACCGGGTACAAGAAACAGGGGGCAGGGATCGGGGAACGTGACCCACAAGTAGAGCGGGTTGTCAAAGTAGCACAGTGGATACGGCAGGATAATGAATATGTTGGATCAGATCCGAGGACTCCAGAAAAATCAGTTTGATGTGATGCCAAAAAAATCGTTGTAAAATAATTGAGATGACAGTTTTCTAAGCTTCTGGGAAATCACTTCCACTCGAGTTGGGCTGTCCACTGACGCACAATGGATTTAACCATTGTAACCACTGTGAACGCCCGTGCCACAAGTCTCGCGTCACGTGGCCCCTGCCACATGCCCTTTGGCACATCACAGCGGCAGTTACATATACAGATATGTACAAATGTATGTATGTACAATGGATGCGGATAAACAAGAGGGAAGAGAAAGCAACACTTGAAACAATAATAATAACACAATCAAGAGACTGTTCACACACGTTCTCTGTCTGTCTCTTTCCTTCATGTAGGTGTGCGAGTCCGTATCTACATATGTGGCACTCTGAGTGCACACATATGCATTCTACCTGAATGCATTACGTATGCGCCACCTGCCATCAGCTCCGCGTACAGCACGTTTCTTTTAACACATTCATGTATACTAGTGTACTTGCATGCCCATGCCGATGACCCAAGAAAGGACAGGCCATCCATTCATCCACATCTATCCATCCTTTTGTTGGTAAGCCTTGAAGCCCTCCACGCCCTCCACATCCTCTCACGAATCTTCCACTCGCTCCGTTGCTGTTGCTATAACGTGAGCAACATTCTGGGCTGTCCTCAGCAGCAATCATCTACTGGATCTCGGGCTAGTGCAGTGGAAGCGGTGTTTGCGACCCTGTCTATGTTTGCTTTAGGCAATCATCTCTAGCGACCTACTGTCCGACGTGTGTCCTGGTCCAATTCCTGCAGGCAGCAGCCATATGAAAGACAGTCCTAACTCCTTTGGATAAAGGCCAAAAGAAATTTGCATTACCATTCTTTCATTCGGATTATCATTAAAGCTTCTAAATTCTATTAATTCCACTATCCAGTGAATTTTTAAAACTTTATGCAGATTTTTAATGATTCTGTGGCTTAATATATTCTAATACATTTCTTTACTCTTAGGATGAATGAACCAGTTCAGTTAGAAGCTCGTTTTTTGTTTGTTGTCTCGTTTGTTGAGTTTCCAGAAAAGTAAACGGAAATCAAAGATTTGTATCCGTATATCGTTGGAAAGAACGTGTGACTGACAGTGGACTGAGAGAACAGCTGGTAGACACTTCAGGAAAATATAGTTTACAATTATTTCTATAGTGAAAAGTGAAAAATGGAAGAAACAACTGTGCGCAGAAGAGAGTTATAATAAATATTAGTTAGTTATAATTTATAACTAAGTTATAATATAATAATAATTTAACTGAAATTAATCAAATAATTATTTATAATTTTCGCTCTTTTGGCAACAATGGACATTTGGCGAACCATATGCATTCTTGGCAAATCGCAAATGCATTTTCGATTAAACTACCAGATCTTTTCTTACTTTTTATACCCGGTACTCGAAGAGTAAAAAGGATCTGTGGGCTCGATTTTTTAATTCATGTGTGGGACTTAAGTTGCAGTAGCTGTTCTTTTTACTCCCCACGTGAGAAGACATGAGGAGCAGACAATTCCGTGGTTGAATCGGAAGACGAAACGAGAGACAGGTTTTTGTACCCGGTACTCCACGATTTTGGGGACATATTAATTTTGTGTGTGTGGAACACCCAAAGAGCCATTTCCAGCCCCATAAAGTAGTATGTATACAGTTTCGATCAGCACCATGTCAAGAATCGGCCATCGAGTCATGTCTGTCTGTCCGTAAGAGCTAGAGCAAAACCAATGTTAAGTCCAGACATTCCAATAGACGGGTAAATAGGAGTTTAGAGACGTCCGAGAAAAGGTTTCAAATACGTTTCCGTAAAGAAGGAACCTGTTTTTAGGAAAGTAGCAACTCTCTGCATCGTCTAGGTTCCCCCTATGATTATCTCTTTGAGGTAATTTCTGAATTGAAATTCTTAGACGAGAATTTATTGAAGGGGGCGTCTGATGAAAGAGCTGCGTCGAGCTGTCAAAGCTCTTGCGGCAAAGAAGGCACGAGGAGGGACTGTGGTTCGGGAAAAGTTTTGGGGAAAATGCGTAAAAGAACATTTCATTACGTACTTTTAGGGCGCTAAATCTCGAGTCAACACACAATTCTTTGGCTCCTTGTGCCATTTTGTTCTCGTACTTGGGAATGCATATTAAACTTCCAAACGCCTCCTCGCCTCATAGCTAAGTTTAAATGACCCACTTTTCATACCCCTGCAAATGAGATTTGAAGATTAGGAATGGGTTGGGCTGACTTGTCCATTTATTCATTCATTTACTTATTTACCCATTTCCCCATTTGCCGCTCACTTTTGTTTCTCCTTATCCCAATTGTTAAAATGGAGAAAGCAAAATAATTGCGTACACCTCCTAGCACTAATCAAGCACCACAACACCAACCGGCAGCAGTCCTATTGACCCCCACTTTATGCAATATTTTTCCAGGCACACATGTAATACTTTTCTTAATTCGTAAGCAAATTTTCCTCGCAGTTGATGCTGACAAATGTTCGCATTGCATTTGGGCGTAGCCACACGGGTGGGGTGGCCAAAAACCATCATGCTACCAAACCCGAATTGCTGTATCATTCATTTCGGTTCTGTCTAGTTTAGAATGCAATTGATTCAGTAGAAGCCCTCGGTGCGCAGGACGCATTATTGACATCTGCGTGAATATACAAAACTTGAGAGGCGACACTTCCTCCTCGATCGGGAGTGATTCGCTGGGATGATCCATAACACCAGCAACGCCGCTCCCTATTGTGACGATCTGAAAATTTAATTATTTTTAAATTTACAATAAATATATAATATTCAAACTGCGTCTGGATATTCCTATATTTTTTTGTGTCGCATGAGCACTTTTAAAACATACTTATGCAAATATCGACATTTGCTGCACCTGCTGTTGGAAAGGCCGAAAAAAAAGACGAGTAGGAAAGTTTTCGAGACGCTTCGTACGCGTCAAACTTTTATACCCGGTACTCAGTCAGTATATATGTATGTATGCATATATGTACATTCATATGTACCTTAGTCTGATAGATATATACATGAGTATATACATATGTAACCTTTTGATTTGTTGAATTTTACAGTTTTTAAAATCTTTTATCTACATCACTTCTCACACCAACATGTCCTTTTAGCTCGTCATCCTTCACCAGAGCAACACACTGCATAATCATAAGCAACGCTGCTCCAGGGGGTGGGTGCTCGAAGACACTGCAAATGATTTTCTTCATTCTGGCTATAATAATGATCTTAGCCGATCTCAATTTGGTGATCTGATATATATGGCCCCTCTCCTTGAAACTCTCTTTTATTTTCTTCTATTTTCATAATTGTAGATGTCAAAGATTTGCGCTTTTAGTGGGTGCGCAAGGAAGCGGGGTGAAATTTTGAAATACACTTGAAACGGTTCGATTTTACAGAAGTCTGGATTAAAAACTTGGTTGATCTAGTTCTTATAGTCTGTACTCAGAGAGACGCTCATCAGGACTGACAGACGGACGGACGGACGGAAAGAAGAACAGACGAGGAGAGAGACAGACATGGCTATATCGACTCGGCTATTGATGCTGATCAAGAGAATATATACATTATGGGGTCGGAAACGTTTCCTTCTGTGCGTTAAATGCATCTACTTTCGACCACAAATTCAAAAAACATACCCTATTTACCCCTATAGAAAGATGTTGGAAAATACAGAGTTTCAACCGTGGAGTTAAGGATTGTGGCAGTAATGATCCACTTGTCCCTGTACCTGGCCCTACTCGCATTCGAATTCTCGCTTATCTTAATCAAAATGTACGAATGTCGGTCCGAACTCCGGATTCCGCATGTAAACGCTGCCTAGCACAACAGGCAATAGAATCCAAACGGATTCACATGGCCCTTGAACGCCTGCTTGGTACCGGGAAAGTACCGGGGGCGGTTGGATTGTGAGCTACATTCGTTGCTCTGAGCCGACTGCTATTTATTTGTATTTTCGTGCATTTATGGCTTTATTTCTTGGAGGTGTACTACGGCCGTTTTACCCCCTTGTAGTAGTAGCAGCCTACCCATCCATTTATAGACGCACAGGACTCGACTGGCTCATGCTGTCTGACACTTTGTCGTTTTTATCGTTGCAGCGTTAATTTGGTTAAGAACTTCAGTAACTTCGGGGTCTTGTCAGTAACGTACCGTCTTGTCCCGTCCGGAGAACAAGGACTGATGCGGAGCCGCCCAGCCGGACGCTAGAGCAATGTGTTAATGGGCACAGACACTAAAGCAGGAGTACTGGATCAGAAGCTGCATCAGCTCCTGGTAGAAACAAATGAAGATACATTTTTTGGCAAAAATTACGTTCATAATTCAACTGAAGTTGAATCCGAGAAGATCCAGACACAATTGACCGTAAACGCGCCGGAAGCGTCATCTCCAGTGCAAGTGCAGCAAGCAGCGAGTATTTATACGGCGGCTGCGATCAGATGCGGCGACAACGATCTGCTGAGTGGCACAGCCATCGCCACGGCCACGGCTATGGAAGCAGCAGTGACGACGAATACCAGAACACGGCCCAGCCCGCAACGTTTGATACGCAGCTTTTGGCCCAGTTGCTTCTCCAAAGCCAGCAGTTGGCAAGTAAGTACAACGCCCACCGGTACTCGAAGAATAAATAGGGTATATCGTATTTTCGTAACAGAACGAAACGTTTCAGACTCCATGAGGTATATATATTATTGATCAGCATCAATAGCCAAGTCAATACAGACATGTCTGTCTGTCCGTCTTGTTTGTCGGGACTCAGAGACTATAAGGGCTAGCGTCGAATTTTCCTCTAAACTGATGTGATATCACACTGATAAAAATAAATTTTAAAAATTATCCCCGCCCCCATAAAGGACGAAAATCTGCTGTATCCACCATTTTGAAGATAAGGGAAATTTAAATTCCGTCGGGAATAACTATATCTATCAGATCACCGAATTGGGATTTGATTTTATCATCATTATAGCAGAATGAAGAAATTCATTTGCAGAGGCGTCCCGCAGCTTTACTGATGCTTGCCTTTTTTTGTCATTCTTTCTCGCTCGTACACTCTGCCTCATGCAGTGTGCGTCGCTGGGGTACTTTGGAACTGCAACCTGCAAGCAAGATTTGGATGAGCCTGTCTCGGTCGTTCACATATGATAGCTTAGAAATCTAAAAATAGAAGGCGCTTGCATGTGTGAGTACGCACAAGCCAAGAAGACAATTTTTGAGACAAAAACATTTTCATGAAATTTCTTCTTCTTCAAAAATGATTTATTGACTGGTTGGAAAAAGAAGGTTTATTCTCTGTATATGTATTTATTTTTTTCTTAATTTGTATTACTTGAAATAGAAATTATCATCTACTTTATTCCCCCTGCCGTAACTTCTGTGCATATGTATGTAAATTTCATGCATTTCGAAAGCACTGTAAAAAAACCTATAAATGTAAGCAGATCTAGAATACATACACACATACATTTGTTGAAACCCTGATTCCAGCGCTAGGTCCTGGCAGAATAATTGTTGTGCGTTACGCATTTTCATATTATTCATATATTGTCTTTGGTTATGGGTAATAGTTTTTGGCGTGTTTAAAGAGAAAAAGAAGATTCCTAAGTAACAAAAAGAGCAAAATGCACTCAGAATATTATCATGATCCGAAAAAAAACCTGAAGGAATTCAATAAGCTCACAGGTTCCTCCCTCATTTCGGCATAGAATGGCCCTAAACCTGGTTGTTCTCGACCACTAATGTCTTTTCTGCGAACCACTGATAACATTGACATTCCGCCACAACCGGTCGAACTGGTTCGAACCCTCCTAGAAGCCAACTGCTGTCACGCTCCTCTTGCATCTATTGATTTTGGGATCACTTTTCCACGTCGGCCTCCCAATGCTTTGAGGCAGATATTCGTATGTATGCAGGGCTCTGCACGCATACATTTACGCGCCACTTTTGCGTTTGTGTGCGAATACGGCATCCATACGAATCAGTGCACTATTGGGAATGTGACCACTTTTTCTGGCCAAAGACCATTTTTCAAAAGTACCTGAAATAATATATTTTTAACCGTGATGGATCCAAAAAACATTGATCCAAAATTTAACGGAGCCTACCACGGTTAAGTTATCAGCTCTTTAACAGAGGTGTTAGCTAGCGAGATTCAAGCTCTGTTATGTAATACAACAATTATTTCTTGCGAATTTGATGTAGTATGACCAGTATAAATTTGGAACGAAAATTAGTTTTTAAAGAGGCTTACAAAAAGAGTGAACCCTCTTGGCACCATACGAATTAGGAAAAAAATGTTCTTGTTATATGCTTTGCATTGAAATGTGCACTTTTGTGCACTGTCTTTGCAATTTAAGTTTTCAGGATGAAACCTGAGATTTGGAAGTTCATAGTTGTTTGCAATGTTGAGCTCAGTGAAGGAGAAAATAGCAAAAAAGGATTTAAATTTCTATTATATTTAATCGGCAATACCTGTCCCTAGTTTTGAGAACGACAAAGGATCTTCTAAAATAAAAGCAAGAGATTCTTTGAGCCGTTTGTCGATTAATTTGAAACTTGAAAAATGAATGAAAGAGTAAATGTGCTGATTGGGTAAGATCGTGTACAATCGTACAGCTATAATGAAGTGGAAACACATAACAATGTCTGTGCATTGAAGTTCAGTTATTGTATGTCCAAAAGTATACAAGGAAGTCAAATGTAAAAGTACGATTATCTTATGGTTCTCAATTTTTAAAAATCTATGCACGTCTTTTTTTAAATACGAAGAAAGGTCAGTTAAATTTCACGAATGGCAGAGCCATTGAGGTTACCGGCTAAAATACTTTCCGTACATATTTATGTAAATATCCATGTATATAACGTACATACATACATACATGTAGGTAACGTACATAAATACACACCTGTATGTAACGCACATACATACAGTGGCGAGCATTTGTGGATACCTGGTTACCACTTTTCAGTTCAAACGCCTGTAAAATCTGTACAAAATAATCAAATACTTCTAATTCTTTTATTAGTAGCTTCTTTAGTTATTTGACAATGAAACAAAAAAATAATTTAGACAAAAAAATATCGGCTTCATTCTTAGTTTTTATTATACCCGGTACTCGAAGAGTAAATAGGGTATATTGTGTTTGTGCGACTAACGGTTGTATGTAACGCACAGAAGGAAGCGTTTCCGACCCCATAAAGTATATATATTCTTGATCAGCATCAATAGCCGAGTCGATAGAGCCATGTCTGTCTGTCCGTCTGTCCGTCTTGTTTGTCGGCTCGTTCTCAGAGACTATAAGAGCTAGAGCCACCAAATTTTGGCTCCGGACTGCTGTATGCTCACACTGAAACACACAGTGTATTTCTAAAATAAGCCACGCCCCCTTCCGCCCCCGCAAAAGGGCGAAAACCTCCCAAATCTAAAATGTTGAAGATAAAAGAAAACGCCATTCCGTAGGAAATGGCCATATCTATCAGATCACCAAATTGGGATCCGATTGGATCATTATTATAGCCACAATGAAGAAATTAATTTGCACTGGCTAAACCCACCCTGTCCCGCAGCTTTTGTTGCTCTTTTTACATTCTCTCATTCACACTCTGCTTCTGCTTCACTCGGCCCCTGCCTCTGCCCTCCCCCTGGCGCTGACTCTTCCTACTTTTAACCCACCCCGTCCCGCAGCTTATATTTGTTTTTTTTTTTGTGTGAGGGCGCTGCCTCTGCCTCTACCGCAAGTCAGCAGTATGTTGGTCTAGGGAAGGGCGGCGAGCGTGTTGGTGTGAGAAGTGTTGTAGATGTAGATGACTTTGTAGCATTAAGCTACTGACAGAAGCTTGTTGCTATAGAACATACATGTGATATGTGAATACGATAGAGAAAGAGGAAGAATATGCATTTAATAGGTGAATATCGAAATTGAAAAGAAGAAGAGATTAAATTGATTTGAATTCCGACTCGGCCGAACAGCAGCTTTTTATTTCGAGATTTTGATTCTGAACTGTTGAACAGTGGCCAAAAGCTAATTTTTAAAAGTTAAAACCAAGACTAGGTTTTTAACGCTCTGTATTAGAAAAAGAGTGACCATCAAAGTTGCGTATAAGAAATTTTCATAGATGGCGCCACTTTCGAAAAATCTGCTGTGAAACCTAGCGGTCATTATTTCACAGAATGTCCAGACCATTGAACCATCAAAGTTGCGTACAAGAAATTTTCATAGATGGCGCAACTTTCGAAAAATCTGCTGTGAAATCTAGCGGTCATTATTTCACAGAATGTGCATGGAAAAAGTACCAATTTTATTGCTGTTTTAAATATCTCATAAATTGGAAAATACGATTAACGGATCCAATATTTTTGATGCATTTTATTTAGTAGGCGTTTTACTTTGTGTTCTGTAATGTGAACGATATCTAGTGGTTGGTGATGTCTTCTACATCTAGATGTAGTCCTGAGTGCCGGGTATAAAAGTTGTGACGCGTAAGAAGCGTCTCACACGTCCCTTCTCGTTTTTTGTTAAAGAAGAATGTATCCACTTTTGCACGTTTCCAATTTTTTAAATTGATACATTTTTCAAAATGTTTTGTGCGAAGACCTTAGCATTTATCCCACTCAGAATATTCTTAGGTATATTCTCGACTACATTTTTAATGTCCTCGCCAGATATTATGTCCCTCTTGGTTTGTATACGCACCTAAAGATCATGCATTCCCTTTGATGCGGATACATACTTTACCATTCATTTTTAAAGAAAATCACGTAGATTTTTAATGGGATTTAAATATATTCGTTGAGTAAACTACTACATTAGGTGAAAACTGTCATTATTGTGACAATTTATCACGATTTTTCGGGTTCCCTTTCTTCTGACAAGTGATATCCAGTATGGGCTTAGCACATTCAAAATCTTCAAAACTTAAAATTTGCCAAATTGGTTTCCAAAAGGCTAATCTAATATTCTATATTCATCATTCCATCGATTTAAGCCAATGGGGAAACAATCCCGTCAGCCCGTAAGCAAGGAAAGTACTTTTCCCGGTTCGGCCTCATTGCGGCAGCTAAGCAGAAAAAGTCTGCCTTCATAAACAAATTTTGCGAATCGTCTTAAATGAACCAAGGAAATTATGTTAATCAACTGAGACTAAAATAAACTACATTTAGTCTGACAACAAGCAGTACTACTGGGACCACCCACATAAAAGACTGAAAAAGCATCAGGTCAAGGAAACGACAAAACATGCAGGAGAAGGCTGATCGTGTGGGGCTGCTTCACTTGGAGGAAATGGTAACCCATTGGCTAAAATCGATGGAATGATGAATAAAGAATATTAGATAATCCAATTTGGCAAATTTTAAATTTTGAAGATTTTAATTGTGCTACCCCATACTGGATATCACTTGCCAGCAGAACGGGAACCCGAAAAAATGGGCTAAAATCGTGATAAATTTTCGCAACAATGAGAGTTTTCATCTAATCTAGTAGTCTACTCAACGAATATATCTAAATCCCATTAAAAATCTAGGTGATTTTCTTTAAAAACGAATGTATGAATCCGCACCAAAGGGAATGCATGGTCTTTAGGGGCGTATACAAACCAAGTGGGACATAATATCTGGCGAGGATGTTAAAAATTTAGTCGAGAATATACCTAAGCATATTCTGAGTGTGATGAAATGAAATGCTAAGGGCATTTGCACAAAACATTTTGGAAAATTTATGAATTCAAAAAATTGGCAACGTGCAAAAGTGTATACATTGACTTTAAAAAAAAAAACTAAAACTTTTAATGAAGCCGATATTTTTTAGTTTTAATTATTATTTTGTTTTATTTTTAAATACCTAAAGCAGCTATTAAAAAAAGAATTAGAAGAATTGAATAATTTTTACAGATTTTACAGGCGTTTGAACTGAAAAGTGGTAAATGAGTATCCACAAATGCTCGCCACTGCACATACGTGTATGTATTTTCCGAATCCGCAAAGTGCATGCAGTAATAGCAGTAATAGTGTAATAGTAGTCTTATATTAGTACTAATTTATGTTTCTCTTACTGTTGCAGGCATGGAACACTACAATTCGGACTGCAAGCCGGAGTATTTAAGACAGCGAGACCGTCGATTGGGAGGGGGAGGCCCCGTGACGGCAGTCCCTGGTCAGGCAGTGACCTACGCCCAACCGCATCAAGGCACGACGGGCTCGCCACTAGAGCTAGCCACCGTGTCGACCAGCGAATATCAATCCAATGCCAATCTAGGCCTATTTCCCAGCAGCAGTGCCACTTCGACAGCAACAGATACAGCTGCAGCTGCATCTACAGCCGTTGCTATACCACGCAGTACAAATCCCTTCTTAAGCGACAAATTCACGGCGGACGATGAGTCCACAGGCACGGTCCTGTTGCCCGCCTCGGCCTCCTCTTCGACGGCTGCCTCAAGCCGCAGTCGGAGCCCCCGGAGCAGCGGAGCGGCACGCAGTACGCTGAATCGCTTGAGTGGCATGACCAGCTCCAGCAGTGGTGCATCGGCCTTGTCCGTCAATCGCAGCGATTCATTGCGACAGCGACATCCGAGTCAAAGTCATAGCCAGGCGCAGCATTCGCACCCGAACCAGGTGAGCGGCGTCAGTGGTGACGCCGATGGAAATGGCGAGGGAGACTTTGACGATTTTTCCGGCATCAGCGGGGAGTCAGAACCACCGCAAGATCCGGGCCCGCCAGAGATACCACCGCGCACGCAGTCACTGCTAATGTCTTTGCGCAAGCACTCGGACTACAGGCTCAAATATGAGGAAAAAGGGGACCAAAAACACGAGGAATTCATCCCAACCGTCAAGCTTCAGAAGAGTAAGTGCCGTGACACAAGCAATTCAGGAAATTTCTGCCTGTAAGCTTTTTGTGCCAAGCTTTTTTCCCTGAAATTCCCTGTGTTTCTGTCGATTCCGCAATCTCGAAAGCTTCGCGTTGGCTCGAAAAAGTCTTAACAGACAGCTTATGACCTGAACTGGCTGTTAGGGATGTAAATGTTTTCAAAAGCTTGGTGGAAAACCGCTACAGTTATGTCGCATGAATGATGTCTAACTGCCGATCTTTCTTGTAGATTATATTATCAGCAATAACTTACGATCAACGGATCAGCAGTTTAAAACTCATTCGCCAGTCGACACGCAGGGGTAAGTGATAAATGAATCTATTTATCTATTTCTTAATGGGAAAGGAATACTTGTTTCTAAGAATCATTCGGATATCGATGGCATTTTTTTCATAGAAATATATATTGTGCAAATATGTTAAAGAAGCCTGTGTCTCTTTTCTGAATTGATAATCCTCTAAATCTGGCCTTTCGTTGGATGTTGGATTGCGCTGCAGTCCTTCTGGAATTGGAGACAGTTAATCGGTACTGGGAGTTGGAGACAAATCCAGGAGAAGCCGGAGCCCCCACTATTTCAACGCTTGTCCTCTAATCTGCGTGCGGTCTCTGGGTATGCATCGTTTGAGGCTACCATTACATCAGCGACAGCCAGAACCTGCATCCGAGACCTAGGATCCGAAAGCTGGTGCTGGTGGTGGGGTAGTAAGAGGTGTCCCATGTTAGCGGCAATTAAATCCGCAAAATGGTTTCACATCGTCCATCGTCGTCTGGACGCCTGTTTGTTTGTTTGTCTCTTGCAGGAGTCTGTTTGCTTCTCGTATCTCATGTGCGAGTGCATCAGCCTTGTAATCCTTGCCAGGCGGAGCAACAGCGAGAGGAGCACAAGGAGATGGTAAGCCACAGTCCCAAACTTAAAAGTTTCTGCCACCGGAGACGCTCTTTTTTGTGTCCGCCACATTTTCTGTCACTCCTTCCACTCTTCCTTCTGTTGCTTCCGAAACTTCTCCCCCTGTGTGTGGTTCCTCTTATATTGCTGGCCAAAGATTTCCGTAGCATTATGCGGTTGCATAAGCGGCTTTTGCCTCGTATTTTGTATGCTCCTTTACCCAGGGAAAGGGTTCACCCCCACATCTACGACTGCAATGGTGCTGTTCTTTGGGGGTAGGACCGCCTCCTCTTTCCAGTTACTAGCCAGACAGATGCCTCCGGCTGCCTACCACCAGCCACCTGATGCTCCTGTACTTGCTCTGTCTCTTGCATCATAATTAAAGAACTCACTCTGAGGTTACGTGGTTTTACAGGTTTAACCGTTACCTTTCGGTCGCCTCTTCATTTCCTGACCGGTGCTGTGACTTCTTCCCCCTTTTTCGGGAGGATGTCTGAGGGGGTCTCCATTCAGCCGGATGTGAGCAGGATGCAGCACATTGGTGGAGGTCTGTGTCTCTGGGTCTAGCCGCAACACAGACGCTAATGTTTTAACTAATGATGGCAGTGACCAGCAGTAACAGCGGATACACAATTATGAAAGAATCGTTTATTTCGTTTACTTCATTATTTTATTTTTTGGATCAGCAAAACCAAAGTTGTTGGTTGCAAAATATACCATAAGAAACAACGAAAACGTACATGACAGAAATATTTTAAGGATATCAAATCATCTCTTTATATGAAATGTTTCGTAATTATCAAAAAGATTTTTGAAAGCTTCATCCAGTTTGAAGGGATGTGATAATGACCGTATCATATTTTTTTAAATACGTATAACGTAAGATTGAATAGCTTTTTCTTTAAGTATTTAAATATTCATTATGGGATTAATTCTAAAAAAATATGAGACAAAGAAATTTTCTGCGCTTTGTTCTCTAAAGGAGCTGAGCGGTAGGTCAGAAAATTAAAATACATGTACATACATATGTATGGAGAATGAACGATTTTCTAAAAATGAAACCAACCCTTTAACAGGCCCGATTCCTTTGATGTTGAAAGCTTTAGGACTGCCGTAGATAACTCTGTTGGCACGCTGCAGTCGATTGACCGCTAACTGCAGCAGGCGGTTATCGAAAAGACATGGGCAAGGACCACGGACACAACCATGTATGTACATACATACATATGTACATACATATGTATATGAAAGTGCGGGAGACTTAACATACTGCCAAACAGATATGCATTCATCCGAGCCATCCATGGGAAGGGATGAGTTTGAACCATTATATGGAGCAGAGCAGAGCAGAGCAAACATATGTCGTTGACAGTCGTCATGCGCAGCTACTTAGACGGACATACACTTATGATAATAGCAAATACCACATGTTCCACACTCCACACACAGACACCGAACACAGGACATATGTACATAAATACACTCGAATGTGGGCGGTGGCCGAGTCATGGAACACGGGGGAGGGCAATAAGCTCACGAATGTGCCATAAAAATTGCATCCCAGAACTTTTAAAGCATGAAATTGCCAATTCCAATCCGGCTTTAGTTGTTAAAACCTTCAGGATCCCGACTTTAATAGAATATGCCACGTCTCCTATCCTTCGCTTGTGGCAAGAACACGTCACTTCAACCATACGTATAGAAATGAACATTCAGCTGTTAGCTTGGTCAAAATTAAATCAAGTGGTCTGAGGAGCTGCTAAAGTGCTTATGGATCTTTTTATTAAACACAATACTTCCTATAAACAATCGAACCATTAAAAAATATAATGGGCGGGAAGATTGTGACCGACGTAAGTCAGGGCGAATGTACGCGTGAATGAAAGATTTTGCTGAAGAAATATACATATGTACATATTTGCATCTGTTACATACATACATACATATTTGTACAGAACTTGCTGTACATACATACATATTTGCATATGTTACATACATATGTATGTATGTAATTGGTACTGCAGGCGTTGGCCTCCACGTTGAGTTTCTCGCTCCTTTTTACTGTTTTTCTACATCTACATTTCTTCTCACGCCAACACGCTGTTTTACATCCCCCCACCACTAGTGTGAAATGAGAGAATTTGCTAAAAATAAAAAAAGGTATGGTGGACGGGTAACTACTGCAAATTAAAATCTTCATTCTGGCTATAATAATGATCCAATCTGATCCAAAGATTTGATAGATACATATATGTACATATGTAGTCCTTCCCTAGGAAATGGAGTTAGTTTCCTTTAATTTTCAAAATTTTGAAATGCACTTGTAACAGTGTGAGCATACAGGTCTTGGTTGCCCTATCTTTTTAGTTTCTAAGTACTAGGCGCTCACAAGGACGACCAGACGGACGGACAGACAAACATGACTAGATCGACTCGGCTATTGATACTGATAAAAAATGTATGTATATACTATGTGGTGTCGGAAACGCTTCATTATGTGTGTTACATTTCTTCCGCACAAATACAATATACCCTATTAACTCTTCGAGTACCGGGTATAACAATTGGAAGTCGCAAGTGAACTAAGAACTGTGAGAGGTAGAAGAGTACGATGATGATTGCCGACAGTTGAAGATGTAGAGTGGAAATTAAGAACACAAGCGTAAACACTTAAAAGGCGCTCGAAACTGAGTTCGGTGCTGACTCAATCGATCCCCTCCATCCCCTCAACCCTGTCCAACGCCCTCGCACTCGCACACTGGGCTTGCTCGAAAGGTCTCCCGATAGATTGAGTGAGCGAGGGGCACCGGTGCTGCGCTCGTTTGTTTGCTTGTGAGAAAACAGAAACTCACATGGACAGAAAATTAATTGAAAGCAATCATTAAACAGAGCCGCAGATACAACACTACCCGAGGAGACGCCGGGCGAACGTTTATGTGTATCACTTAATTCAAACTGTACACATATGTACATGTGTATACACATATGTATGTATTATGTATGTATTTATGTATGTCTACATCTACATATGTTCATATACATATATATGTGTGTCGCTCACTATAGAGACACATCCATACATATGTATGTATGTGTAAATTCTCGTATCCGTCGGCTCCCTGGATCAGGCACTCCATTAAAGACTCCAGAGTACCCCTGGAGTTTAGCACACAGCAAACAAATGGCTCAGATCGGAAGGGAGTGGAGAGGACGGTCAGAAAGAACCGTCGATATGAGTTGACCCACAGGCCATACCCAGCCCCAGACAGCAGAAAGACACCCAACTGATGTGGGGTCTGAGATGGGTCATTCGAGAGACCGATCTGTATGTAGAGATGTTCCGAGATGTTCATCAGCGTGCTGTTTATTTCTTTATTAATTATGGTTTTCTGCTTAGGTATTCTTCGCTTTCGTAATGCTGATTTTAATTTTGATTATTGAGGATTGTACCCTTTGCAGTCATCATCGCAGTTTCCGGGCTCATAGTTTCGCCTGATTGAATTCAATTGTTTAATTACCAGAAGATTTTCCTAACCTCGATACCAGCGATAGCCCGATACCAGCTAACGATGAAGCAGACAAGTTGTTGCCCCGAAAGACTGAGAATATGTACATTTTTATGTATGTACATATGTCAAAGATATAATTCAATATTTGGAGAAAGCTACCACGAGTCGATTTTATTGTGCACCCTCCATATCTTCGGACACATTCCCCATTCCTGCCATGATGCTGTTCTTTTTTCATCCCCCACTCTGCTGCTGCTGACGCAGTCTCTGCGCCTGCGCAGCCTATGATAAATGTCCAGCGTTAAAGCCAGCGCCAGCACGTATCCGCCCGCTGAAAAGTTGAAAACATTATTTATGGGTTGCAGCGCTGTCTTTACCCCTATGGATGTCACATGCTCTTCCATAGGGACTTTTTTCGAAATACGTAGTATGTACGTACATACCAAAATATGTTTTTAACATACAAAATCTCAATATGCAAATTTTAAATGGACTGGCAGACCCACGCAAGATTTCCGTAAAGAAAGAAAAGGGAAAGAAAACACTTCTATCTGATTTTGCAACCCAACGGCCATACACTTGTATAAGAGTTTGTGCCATAAATGTCATAACATAAAAATTATACCAGACTTGACATGCATTCACTCTTTTTTTTTGTGCACTCTCTTAAAATAATTAGCAAAGAGAACATTTTTCTGTCGAAGGGTGCGAATTGGATTCAAGGGTAATGTAAATGGTTACATAAACAATTGGCAAACAAAAGAGTTTTCTAGGGATAAAAACATTTTAAAAGCTAAACTGCAAGGACTTCCCTCGACTGGATTTTCTAACGTCAGCTGTACAATCCGATAGTGATTATAAATTCAGTTGCGTAGCTTTTAAACTGAGGTTACACTTGCGAAGATATATATGTATGTACATATGTACGTGTCCATGCATATATACAAATGTACATATGTATATCTGTAATATTCGTTCAATGTTGGAACAATGTGTACCAGAAACTGTTATACGCCGTCCATTGCTTGACAAGCCCACAAATGTTTCTTGGGACCTAAAACTGTTGCTGGGGACCTAAAAATACTTCTCTGCCACATGTGGCTGAACATCTTATGTTGCTAACAGTTTTAAAGAGAGCCGAGAGAATTTTCGACTCTCTCTCTCTCTCGCTGTTGCCTGCGCTCTTTCGCTGTAAGCTCCGCTCTTTCTCAAGTATCTTGACAAATCGTTCCTGTTAGCCGCCGCCACAGGTTTCTGTTGTTGTTTGCTCATGCCACCTCACCTTAGACTCCAATATGTCATTGGCTTACATTCAGAGCATGTTAACAGTTGGGGTGCGTTTATGCTAGCCTGCCTTGTGTTCTCCTGGGCGTTTTGCCTGTGGACCATACCTCGTTTTATCCCAGCAACACGCGCTTGTTGCGAGAATGATGCACTTATATAGGGTGGTCCCGTCGGCAAAACGTCACCCCTAACAATGCTGTCAATAAGTGCGAGTGAGAGGGTTCTGCGTGGTAAGTGTGAGTGAAAGTACAATAGAGTCTGCTGATTAAAACTTGATGGCATGGCGTTTAATAGTGCCCATTGCAAGAAAAAAAGTGTTGAAGTTGTTTTTTTATTTTGATTTTTTATAATTTACTTCTTGAGAGTAGTCGTTATTTTTTCATAGATATTATTTTAATTCTAAAATAAATTGTATTTTTCTTGCTGCTAAAACTGAAAAATCATTTTGTGCACAAACTTTCACGTCGACATGCAAGCACAGGAACGCCAGGGGTGCGAAACCAAGCGATTGGGCAACCGACGAAACCACCTTATATAATTGCACCATGCTTGCCAGCAACATTTTTGAGCGCTGCCGGACTTGAAACGAGCTGCCTTGCGCCTCAAACGTCCTCAATTGTGAACATAAACGAACGTGACGCGGACGACAAGCGCCAAGGAACCAAGGAAACAAGAGAAAAATAGAAAATAGTGCCGAGTTCAGTTAATTCCGTTGAAATATCCCACGCAAATGTGCTGATATGTTTGCAAAAGAATATCACTCACAAATAAATGATCAAATAATATATACATATATCAATATTCGATATATCAATATGTATTCAACATTCGAATGACGGCGCGAATAACATATACATCCATCCGCATCCGCGTGTATGTGTACGTGAACGTGAGTGTCTATCTGTGTGTTTTTGTGTGTGCTCGCGTGTTTTTCCTACGTTTTTTGTGCGTTTGTTTCCCTAAAAACCTGAAATCCACTTCTCCCTTCCCTCTATTACAGTCCTTGCATTTCTGCCAGCTTTCTTGATTTGCGCAAGGAGGCACTTTATAATTTTTTGCTCATTTGTTTTTGTTGTGACCAATTTTTTTAAGTGCTGGAAAGTGCTGAAAACAGAGAAAGATATAAACAACAAGAAGAACCCCGAAATTAAAGATAAAGAGAGATAGAAAGGAAAGAGAAAAAAGAAAAGAAAAAAGATTCTTTCCTATGGAAAAACAGCGAAAGAGGCAGAGCGGAAGTAGCGGCAGATTACATTAAAAAACGGATTACAAAAACATATTTTTGGATAGAAAAACTAACTGATCAAGACAGCAAGCAGAGCGTCAACGACTGGACTTCAACGGAAAAGCAACCACAAAAAA